ATCTGCTGCTGGGGCAAACCCCAAATCCATGTCATGCTGGGAGTCCAGAGCTGGTGTTGAAGCCAATCCCAAATCCAGCCCTTGGTGGGACCCAGCAGCTGCAGCGGGGGTGAAGCCGAGCTCCGTCCCCGGGGTGGAGTCGTCACTGACACCTTTGGCAGGGCTGGCTTCAGGGGCAGGAGAAAACCCCAAAGGTGTGGCCTGGAAAGGGTTGGCTGCTGCTGCAGCCCCGGGGGCAGCTCTGGGGTCTCCAGGCCCCTCCTTCTGTGCAGGAAGGGACGCGGTGTGGGCTGCAGGAACAGAGACAGCACGGTGAGGACAAAGGCCAGGGACACCCAGGGAGCACCCCTGGGCTCCTCCTGCCTCTCAGCCACTCCAGCCCTGGCTGCATCCCTGAGCTTTTCCTGCTGCAGCCCCCCCGTGCCCCGTGTGCACCCCTGGCCGTGCTGCTCCCAAGGATGGATCCTTTGTGCTCCAAGGCTGGCAGGGGCCCAGAGCTGCTGGATGCTGTGCCAGGAGCACATTCCAGCACAGCCCGGGCAGGAATGCCAGCTCACAGCTTCCCCAGCATGGCTTCAGCTGCAAGGCACCTCCAGCATGTCCCAGTTCCACCTCCACTCCCCTCTCCCTGTGCCAGGTTGCTCCTGCCTGGCCTGGGACATTCCCAGGGGCAGCCACAGATTCCCTGGGAGATTTTTCTCTCGACACAGAAAATGTGGCATCACCTGTGTGAGCCCAGCAGGTTTTCCAGGAGCAGGAGAAGTCCTGGCACACTCCAAAGCTACACAATCCATCCTTGTAAACAATTCCCAACACGGTTTGTGCTGCTGCTGGGGCTCTGCTTGGTGCTCAGGCAGCAGCTCTGGCACTCCTGACACAAAATCCTCCCACAAATCCCAAATTCCTTCCATTTGGCCTCGTTCATTTTTCACACAGTATCTCCTAACACTGAGCTGGTAGCTCCAAACCAACATTTGTCACTTCACAGCACAATCAAACCTCTGCATTTAAGCTCCTATTTGCCTAAAATCCCCTTAAAGGAGGTTTTCCAGTCAGTTTTTGTTTCATGTTTCAGCTGTCCAGAGGCAAGCTTTTCCAAATGATCAGTGCCACAAGCACTGGCTCTCTCTTCTGCAGCTCCACACAGCCCCAGGCTCTGCCCACCCTCCGTGTCCTGCAGCTCAGTGCCCTGAACGTCTCCCATCTCTTGCTGATGACCAAAAAAAATAACATTTCTACTGATTTTTTGAGTCACATCTAAAAATATCCTCTCCAACCAGTGGAAAATGGATTAAATCTAAATTAGCTAATTCAACTGAAGACAGGAAGAAATAGAAAAAATGCAAAGTCCCTTTTAAAATGCTACTTAAGGATCCATTTAGATAAAACAAATATTTTAGTGAACCAAACCAGAAGGATCCATCATGCACCAGCCCCTATTTGGCTTTGACTTTGTTGTGGGGTTTTTTAANCAGATGTGACACCTGGAGCCATGGCTTGGACCTGGTGACCTCACAGAGCTTTTCCCACCTGAACCATTCCCTCTTTGTGTGCTGTGAGCACATCCTTAGGATTTCCCTGCAGCTGAAACTTTGGACACAGCAAAGAACAATGGAATCAGCTCCTGGACTGGGCCACAGCTGAGCAGATTTGCTGCTTGTCCCTCAGGTGTCCCCACAGCTGCAGGCACAGCAGGGTCTGACCACACCTTTGCTGTGTTTCCCTTAGGAGAGGCAATTCCATGTGGGTTTTTTTTGCCCAGGCAATTCCATATTTTGTTTTTTTTCCCAGGAAATTCCATGTTTTGGGGGGTTTTTTTTGCCCAGGCAATTCCATGTTTTTTTCCCAGCCAACTCCATGGGGTTTTTTTTCCCAGGCAATTCCAGTTTTTTTTCCCCAGCCAATTCCATGTTTGTTTTTTTCCCCAGCCAATTCCATGTTTTTGTTTTTTTTTTTCCCAGGCAATTCCATGTTTTTTCCCCAGACAATTCCATGTTTGTTTTTTTCCCAGGCAATTCCAGTTTTTTTTACCCAGGCAATTCCATGTTTGTTTTTTTTTTTTTCCCAGGCAATTCCATATCTGTTTTTTTTCCCAGGCAATTCCAGTTTTTTTTTTCCCAGGCAATTCCATGTTTTTTTTTTTCCCCAGGCAATTCCAGATTTTTTCCCGGGCAATTCCATGGTTTTTTTTTTCCCCAGAGGGCCCAGCTCAGGTGCAGGGGTTTACCTGGGGTGCTGCCCTTTGCTCCCTCGCTGGCTGCAGCCTCTCCTGGCAGTGCTGAGGCTGCAGCAGGAACGTCCCCAGGGGCTGCTGCTGCCGTGGGGCTCTCGGGCAGACTCGTCCTGATGGCTTCTGTGGCTGCAGGGGGCACTGGGGGGCAGAAACAGCTGGAATGAACAGCTGGAATGAACAGCTGGAATGAACAGCTGGAATGAACAGCTGGAAAGGCCTCAGCACACAGAGCTGTTGGCATGTGGGGACACCCCCGAGGTGCTGCCTCAGCATCCCTGTCCAGCTCACAGAAAATCTGATTTATTGCCCAATCTCAGGAAAATAATTTGTGCAGCATCCAGGAAAACTCCTGAATGCCAGGAGAAGTGGAAAAGCTGGGGAGGGCTGTGTTACAAACCCACCCCCAGCTCCACAAACAATTCCCACCCTTGAGCAGGGTGGAACTGCTCCTCCAGCTTCTTCACAGAATTCCAGATCCCATTATGGGTCAAGTTTGGTAACACACACGAGTTCCCAATGGGATAATGTCCTGGTGGAGCTTCCAAGATTTCCCTGTGACCAGAATTTAAAGGTAATTGTAAAACCCCTGAAAGGTTTGGGTGGGGAGGGACCTCAAGGATCACCCAGTGCCACCCCTGCCATGGCAGGGACACCTCCCACTGTCCCAGAGTGATCCAAACCCAGTGTCCAGCCTGGCCTTGGGCACCCTGGGCCAGCCAGGAATTCCCTCCCAATATCCCACCTAGCCCTGCTCTCTTTCAGTTTACAGCCATTGCCACTCCTCAGTGATGCATTTCCATTCCAAAGTGATGTGAGCAGCCCCCACAGTGCTGTCCTTTGTCACAGCCCCGTGTCCCCTGAGCAGCCACACAAGGAGAGCAGCTGCTCCTGCTGCTCAGGAGCTCTGCCAGCACTTCCTGCACATCAGCTCCAAGCTGATTTTTACCTGGTGGCTCCACAAAGAAAGAGGTGTCTGGTCCCTTCATGTCGTGCTGAGCTCCCATCCAGTATTCTTCAGGTGCTGTGGGAACAAACACAGAGTCCAGCCCTGACCCCACAGGGTTTGACTTTGCCATGGAAGGTCCTGACTCTGCTGGGTTGGGAGTTCATCCTCAGGGAGTTTTCAATTCCCTCCAAGAGAGGCAGCAGATCATCCTGCTCCTCCATGAATATTGGGAGGGAAATAATCCCCCCATCAATTCCCTCCCATCAGACAGGAGTTACAGCCCAGGAGCCAAAGGAGGAGTTCCCTTCCTCTGCTGGGCAGCCCTGCCCAAGCAGGGGGAGTGGAAAAGTCCCATCCTCACCCATCCTGTGACCTCCTAATGTAGAATCCCAGAATGGTTTGGGCTGGAAGGGACTTTAAAGCTCATCCCATGGGCAGGGACACCTCCCACTCTCCCAGGCTGCTCCCAGCCCCATCCAACCCTCCAGGAATCAGGGGTAGCCACAGGAATCCTGTGCCAGAGCCACATTCCAGAACATTCCCCCTGAACCAACAGCTCTCCATGCCAAGAGGAAACGTTCCAATCTTGACTCAATTTATGGATCAACTCCCCACCAAGATTCTTTAGCACTCCTAAACTGGGATTTTCCAGCTGCAAACCCTCCAAAGCCAGGCACTAAGAGGAAACATTTCCTTCTCACCTGCTTTTCCTGGCAGGAATTCTGTGCCTGACTCGAGGCCAATGAAGGCTGATGGGTCCAGAGCCTCTGCAGGGGAATAGAGGGACGCCAGGAAAGGCTGCTCAGGTCCCATCATGGATCCATGTGGAGCTAAGGAAACAAAATAACTTTGTTCATCACCAGCCCCAGTGACTCCTCTCCTAAATTTCAAATCCAGCAGCAGTTCAGATAAATCTGCATCAAATGTTAGTTCTGCTTCACCAACCATAAACTCTGGATTTAACACAACTTTCTGACAAGGTGTAAGAGAGTAAACACAGGCAAATTCTTTCCTTTGGCTTTCTGCTCCTTCTCCCATGAATTCCTGCTGGTAATTCCTTAATAATCCAATATGAATGTAATAAACCAAGAGTTGAAATCCTGAAGAGCACTTTGCTGAAAATCTGGGTTTTAACCATTACAACAAAGAGCAGGGGGAAAAAAAAAGGCTTGTGAATTCACAACCATGAAACACAACAGAGGAGGAGCTCACCAAGGATGTCCCTGGCAGCCTCAGCGTGGCCTGGGAACAGTGGCACGTTCTTCATGTCCGTGGGGAAGGATAAATCTGGCAGGTTCTCCCCTCTGTGGATGCTGAAGGGATCTGGCAGAGACACAACCAGGCAGGGTCACCACCCAGGGGACAAGGAACATGACAGGGACAACATGAGCACGCCCCAGACCCCAGGGAAAAGCTGCTTTTGGGGTTGTTGACCAGGAGCAAAGCCCTTTGTAATTAGAATTTACAGCCAACAGTGACTCCACAGCTCAGGCTGATTGCTGGGAAAGTGGATCACGATTGTACCTGGAGAAACCAGGAGGAACCACCTGCCTCTGTCCTGATGGACACAGCCCAGGAATGTGAGCCAGGAACGAGGGCTGGGCTCAGCTCAGCCAGGAACTGCATCCCAGTGTGAACCAGGCTGATGGACTGGTATTCCAACCGAGTTACTGGGAGAGTACTGGGCTCCAGGGGGTGACACTGAGCCCCATGGGGTGACAGAGCCCTGGGGGCAGCAGCTGGCACTGACCTGGCTGACCAGCCTGGTCCAGCCTGTCCTGGTCCATGCCCAGGGGTCACCCTGAGCCCGGGTAAGCAGAAAC